ATACATATTATATATGTATATATATATATATATATATATAATGTAAAAAAATATTTTCTGCTTTAATCAATTTTTTTTTTATTCTGAATTGAATATCTTTGGGTCTTGGACTGAGCAATTTGAATATATGTCACCTTTATGACTAGAAAATTGTGATGGCTATTTGCCATCATTTATTTTTGACACAGACAAAAAGATGAATCAGAACAATAACAAACCGATTGATCTATGGAGGAGAAAAATCCCGACCATGAACCCACCTGAAGGTCATTCTGAAGATGAGAGCCCCCGCCTGGTTATGAATAATAAAGCCATCTTTGTTGAGATCCAGCAGCTCAGCCTTCAGCAGCTGGGCTTTACGGAGGGACGCCGAGTAGTAGCACCAGGCAACCACAGCAGCCAGCACCAACACACAGCCCAACAAGCCTGCCAGCACCAGGGGACGGCCTTCATGAGACAGTTTCTTCTTCAGAGGAGAGCCTCCAGCTCCCCCGGCCGTATGCTGCTGCTCCCCGGGAGCCACGGGGACGATCTGATACATCCTGAAGACTTCAGGGAGCGAGGCGTGTAGGGATGCGTAGATTTCGTGGGAGGAGTGGACGGCTTTAACTTTCACTTGCTGTCAGTGTCATTGAAAACGGAAGATAACTTCTTCACACTGGCAGTAGTGGAGACGAAGGAAAGCCCGATGTCTACCTGCCGATCTTCAACAGAGTCTCCATATCTGAATGAGGGCTGATTTGTCCAAACCTGCGAGATAGACAGAGGCAGACAGGGATCAACATTCAGATGAAGTATGTATGCCCCGTGGTGTAAAACATGTCAAAAAGAAGAAATAAGCCACCATTAGATATCATCATGTCATACACTAATCAACCCTAATATCAGGTAGGATGGGAGAATACAAGAATACATTGTAGGTAGAAAATCGTCCAGACAGACTAGTAAAATTCCAAATATTCAGTGTGGGACATACAAATCCAGTAATGTCTCTTATGACGACCATCATCACAGAGTGGGTTTGTTTGACAATCCAGTTCTAGTTATTACCTCTGACTGTCTCCAGGAACTATAGTTCTAAATACCTTTGGGGCTCTCCATTTCATGACAGTCTACAAAAACAACGTATCGCACAATGATCCTGAGCGTTAGTCTCTCCCACAAAGCTACACGTTTCTGTACTGTGCCTGTGTGCACTCGCTGTTTGGCATCCAGCAGCATAGTGTCCAGCAGCGAGAGCACAGAAGCTTTAATTTGGTAAATGGTAGGTAGAGGTGCTCCGTCGCCACACACAGGCACCGATGGGAACAGAACCAGTGACACCATGAAACACAGGCTATGATCAGAGAGCGCACAGACACCATGTCAGCGTGGTTCCATTACATTCATCTCACCAGGTATAGGAGCACCTTGGACATGAGTAAATAACATTTAAGACCAGAAGCCCTCAAATAACAGCACTGCAGCAAGCCTACAGTTTTCAGATGGAGCTCAGGCCAATCATCCACACCAGAACTATATTTAACCCCCCCCTCCCCCAACAGGTATCATTACGCTGCAGCTCAACGTTCTCATTTTATTCTGATGAAGCATCTGTGGCAATGCAGCAATGAGAGGAAGGAAAGCTTACAAAATGCACTCCTTGCAAAAACTGGGTCACCTTCACTGCTGCGTGACTTGTCTTCCTCTTTCAGACAGCTTACACAATTCTTTACCTCCTCCTTTTCAAGTCCCGAATAATAGCACTAACTGCTTTGTAGGGAAACTGTCATGAATTAAGTAGTTGTACAAGCATCACTGCTCACACAATGTCTTATTATGCATGAACAAAAAGCCATTCTGTGAGGGGTAGTTTAGGACAATATCCTCATAATTTTGCTGCTTATGGGGACCAAATAGACACAATGCAAAGTGCTTACTGTTTTCATTTACAGCAGAAACTATCTATTCTGGAGTACAATAAACTGTACTCTGGTGGTTATACGTGTTTTCTTACTGGACGGCGAGCTGACAAACAGGCACGCGTGTCCTCCACTGCACAGTGTTTACATTAGTTGAAGCTATATACCTAAACTATTATACCAAAATAGACACTGTCATCTGACTTTGCTGAAATGATGGTGATGCACAGAGCCCCCAAGAGTACAAGTGAGCCGAGGTGACATTAAGCTAACCAATCGAGCGTTTCCTATGTGCCAGTGCCCGATCGATAACCCACACACACGCACGCACGCATCGACACCAACTATTGACGCTGCATTGGGACCGAACGGGACATACAGTCACCGGTTATACCGGTTGCCACGAATTGGGCTCGGGAACGGTCCTGGTCGAAGTGAAAAGCTATGTCGGCCATGTCAATAACACATACTTGAGTTAGAGAATACATTAAAACTGTCATTGATAGCGCTGTGCTCGTAAAAACAAAGTTATCTTACCTTCGCGTCTGACTCTCTCGGGTCAATGTGTATAGCTGTGAGCGCAGTAGCCCACTGCGCAGCCTGCAGAGCGGTTTGAACTCCCATGAGACCGCCCAACAACGAACGATTCGTCCGTTTATCTGTCACTCATCCTCCCGTGCGCTTCTGGGAAATGTAGTGTGAGAATAAGGCTTCAGAATTATTTCCAAAAAGAGACCAACGTCAGCAATTGACATTGGCAAACACACAGGGCAGAGCGTTAGGTAACTATTAATCACATTTAGCAGTATTTTAAAATTATTGTCTGTTTTCATGTGCTACTGTTTTCCATGGAAACAATTAAAATACAAAATAGACTTTGTGGCATTTTATCTTTCATTGGCTTGTATTAGCCTAAAAAGTACAGTGAGTATAGCTATGTAATTTAACCTAGCTGCATTTTTTTTGTTATTTACTATTTGTAAAGGGTGAACAGACCAGTAGTTTGTATGTAACGTTAGCATAATTAGCTAACGCTACGTTATTTACTGATAAGACTGACCGGCCATATCAGCTGGCACAAGGTTGAACAACTGTTCTGAACAAACTACAGAGGTGAGATCATCCAGAGCACAGAATAGTTAATGCGGCTGTGACATGTTTTCTAAGTTACCACTGGGTGACAGCAACAAGCTACAAACAGGGGAGCTGAATGACACAGAGCATTGTCAACTAAACTCTGTTGTGTCCATGGTTAGTTTCTTTGGCCTGCAGATATTCTCGTAATTGTTGTTCCATTTGAAATATGTTGGGTAGTAACTTAGTGGCAACGGCAGAAAAAGGTAAAGTACTTTAGCGAGTAGACATATTTAGCTTGTTTTTTTTAAACTGGCAACATTCGTGGTGGTGGCACCAACGGCTGAGTTAAGCTAACGATAAAGTAGCAACAGTTGTAGTTTTTAGCTAACAGCTACGATAATTAGCAGTGACAGTATGCTAGTAGCACTCGTAGTATAGCATTAGCAGAAGCAGCAACATTGTTTTAAAGCAGTTACCCTAATTACTGTAAACAAAAGTAGTTGTGTATCAGTTGCAGTAAGTAAGAGAAGTAGAAGAGGCAACCACAGCTGGATTTACAACTGAGCAAAGTCAGGTCTGTGTCAGTTGGTTTTGGTAATTTAATGACTAAATATTGTTGGGGATTTTGCAACTCTACAGTAAGACATCTTCCCCTAACATTAAACGTCTGACCTTGTAGAGGGGGCATGTATCAAAATCTAGTTAGCTTAATTGTTCTTGTTTGTATTAGGCTTAAGTTACATGTTAGAGCTAAATCAATAAGCCTGTTAATCGAGTAGATGATAGACACAGTATATAATCAAACTATTAACTATTTTGGTAAACAATCAAATAATTGTTTGTTGTTGTTTTATCACAAAATGACAATGATTTACTACTTTTAGTGTCTTACTTGTCTTATGTGAACAAACTGAATGTCTTTGGGTTTTCCTCTGTCAATCAGACAGAACCGGTATTTGGATGATGTCACCTTGGGCTTTGGGGAATTCTATTTTCAGAAATCCGAAACCGGTTTATTGACAAGCAGGTTTTCACCTACAAGCAATTTGCCTCAGTGTTTTGGTGCATTTACGATGCACATTTTGAGAGAAAATGAAAATAAAAGCAAAAAAGAAGTAGCAGTAGTAACAATAAAAGTACCAGTTCCCTGAAGAGCAGCTGATTGAGTGATGATAAGGTTTGGCAGTAGCAGTGAAAGTAATGTTTGTAGCAGCAACAATGTTTGGTAACTCTCTTTCAGAACCTGTTTAGAGTGAAAATTCCCAGGAGCCAGAGTGACTCATCCTGATGAGCAGATGCTGCTGATGCTGGTGTCCCTGCTCTGCTGTGTCCCTGCAGCCACGGCCTGTCTGCAGTGTGACCGCAAGATCAAGCTCCTGATCGAGGACTTTACCCTGTCAGCTCCAACCATAAACGACCAGATTGAGATAAAAAAGATTCGCGACCATGCCTATGTGACCTACAGAGAGACCAGCCGGCAGCGGAAGGGAGTCATTGGTGAGATCGAGACCCGGTTTAGCATGAAACAACGCGCCATGAGTTGATAGTTCGCGTTACGCAACTTATATCCCTCATCTTGTCTCTTATTTTCATTGCATTTTTCCCAAATATTGTCAGGCCACTAGGGTTTTTTTATGGTCTGCCATTTGGGGCTTCTACTGCTATGGCCCTAACTTGGTCTTAAGACGGGAGATGTCTAAACTGTAAAATCAGTGAAATATTACTGTGTGTTTCCCACTGCTCAGATACCACCACTCTGTACAGAGCCAGAACTGAGTACCAGAGTGAGATGAACCGCTTCTTGAACACAGAGCACACTGGTGAGAAACAAAATGTGTTCCCTTTAAATATGACACTGTCATCAGAACAAACTCAACGTCTGCCAGATTCTGAGGCAAAGCCTGCTCTTTATTTCTTTTTTTCGTTCAGGATATGTAACATTTGAGGCCATTCAGATGCTGGCGATGGGCAGGAAGATCTTAGAAAAACACTTGGACATATTCATCCGTGACGGTAATTGGCATGAATAACAGTGAGTGGTGTGCACAGTATGAGGCGGGGCACTTAGTGGAAGTCACTCTCGCTGTACAAGATGCATTAGTTACAGATAAATGGTTTGTCTCTCCCTCAGGATTGTGCCCCAACAAGTGTGGTAAGTTTGTTCTGTCTGATCCTTCCCTCTGTAGCTGTGTACAATGTGTACTTACTGTATATTCATTGCATGTTTACAGGACACGTGTGTGTGTGTGTGTGTGTGTGTGTGTGTGTGTGTGTGTGTGTGTGTGTGTGTGTGTGTGTGTGTGTGTGTGTGTGTGTGTGTGTGTGTGTGTGTGTGTGTGTGTGTGTGGGTGTGTGTGTGTGTGTGTGTGTGTGTGTGTGTGTGTGTGTGTGTGTGTGTGTGCGCGCGCGCGTGTGTGTGCGCGTGTGCGTGTGTTTGTGTATGGTTTCCAGGGCTTTTGAAACGAAGAGTAATGGATTGCTCCTCTTGCCGCTACAAGATATACATATGTCCCTCTCCCTCTGGCCAGCAGGACTGCGGTGGTATATTTTTATTTACTTGTTTGCGTGCATGTTATTGGTGAGTGGGTGGGGGCTGGTCGTACCTATGAACTGGGAGCGCACCAATCTTCAGATTACATGGATCGCGTGCAGTCACGAGTGTGTAAATGTGTCCCCTAAGCTAGGCACTGCCGCACGTTCATGTGCGCGGCTAATGAAAAAGATTATTCAAGTAATCCTGATGCAAATGAATGAAGCATCTCGCCTTCTGTTTTCTCTCCTCGCACCCCTTTTCTCCAGAGCTCCCAGTGCAGGCTGAGGAGGGAGGCCAGGCCGTGTTGAACTGTTTCCTTCCATGGCATCTTCTTCTGTTGGGAGCGCCAGAGTACCACTATTCCTGGGCCCATGGCGTGCCGGGAACTGAAAAGGTCTCTACCTCAAACATGTGCACAAACGGAAGCTTAAGTTATAGCTCAGCACTTTTAAAACCACTTTGCATTCTTTCCGATTCCCATGTGTCAGATTCTGTCCCTTATTTAGCTGCATTCTGAATCTTAAAACTGACTGCCTCACGACCATCACTTCCTTGTGTGTGTGTGTGTGTGTGTGTGTGTGTGTGTGTGTGTGTGTGTGCAGCTGAACGAGAGTGACTTCAAAGCCTTGGTGGTGACAGACGACTCATCCGTGGTCTTAAATCAGCTGCTCGTGGATGAACAAGGAACATATCGCTGCTCTCTGCAGGGCCAAGATGGAACCGTCTTCTACCGGGTCACTTTCCCACTCGCTGGTAGAGTACAGCTCTTAGACGTGACATCGCAGGAATAAAAACTGTCAGATCATTTAACTCTGACGGGGCAAAAGGCGACATCGCATCCAAGTTAATTTTTGTGGTCCTCAGGGCCATGTGGACGTTAAAGGATATCCCAGAGGTCCCTAGTAAAATTAGAAACACTGTTAATTTAAAAGAAATTGTTCAAATGGTAAACTAAAGGCTTATAATTAGTTCCTGCGTTTGTGTGTGTGTCTGTGTTTGTGGTTTGCGTCTGTGGGGCGGATGTAGGGTGTGTCAATTTCTTTGAGTGGGTTGCTGTTATTGTCTCTTTGATGTCGCTGTGTGGGCTTTATTTTATTTTATGAAGCGTATTCTTCCACACATGTTCCTTATTGCTGTATGTATTTTGATACAAAGACCACTGGGTTTACCTCACCCTGGGTTTAGCTCATCTCTCTGTTGTTTCCTTCACAGTCGCCCCTTTGCCTGACCAGACTCACCGACCCGTCGTCCCTCCGCCCTCGCTGCCTCGAGGAGACGACTACTCGCCTTCTCGACTTACTGCCGACCTGCTGGTGCCTGTCGTCGCCATGGTTACGGCTTTGAGTCTGGCAGCCAGTGTAGGCCTTGCAGTTGTCCTGGGGTGAGAGACAGTAAGCAGGTCCGGAAGGTTAGCAGGAAAGGGTGGACGGTAAAGAGGTGACACGGAACAGTTGGAGTAAACGATGCAAAATGAAGGAAGTGGTTGAGTTGTCATATACTCTGAGGAGTGAATCGTGATTTATGAGGCTTCGGTATTTGCCATATGAAGCTACAATAGATATATAAATAAATGTAATGTTTACAATTGAACTGATTACGTCACTGAGCTTCCAGGAAGTGATGTCACTGACTTCAGCACAAAAATCGACAGGTGATGGACGGGTTACGACTTATAATTAGCATCACTGTGTTTGTTTGTTTTTTCCTTCATAGAATGATGATGAGTCAGAGGAGAGCCGCGGAGCAGCCGAGGAGAAGGACGGAGGGAAGAAACACACACAGCACGGTGTGACGAAGACACCATGTACAGTAAATACACACGCAGGTCATGCCTGGAAATTACACAGAAGTGAGAAAAAATTTCTGATCAATACATGTTGTTTGTCCTCAACGACGAACCGGGATCGCCGATGTGAATGAGACACCGAGAACTCACTAATACAAACCGAAAGTTTGTGATGTAATGAAACCAGAGCGTACAACACACACACACACACACACAGAAAATCCCCCAGAAAGCGCTCAATTTTCTGTAACGTTAAGCACCAGTGCCAGAACACTTCAATCATGTGGCCCCGGCGTGGGTCATGTTCCGAGTGATGACGTTGTCACGTGGGTGTTTATGAGAGGAATCAGGGATGAGGTAAATCTGCTGGATTACAGTGGGGGGTTTTCAGAGATTAGATTTCAGCCATCCAATTAATCCTGGATAATCTCCCTGTGGGAGGAGGGGGGGGTAAAAAGCTAGCAGCAGATGTTTTCATCAGGGTTTCTTGTCATGTTTATTTACCTATGTGTTCATTCGGAAAGAGGGAGAGCTATTTTTCTTACATTACCGATAACGATCTCCTCATTCTGAAATCAGACTTCTTAAATCTCTGCTTCCATCCGCCTACAGTACGCTCTATGTACACGTTGATGACACGCAGCTGATTCAGGAAAATAGTCGCCTCCATTCACACAACTTCTGTCATGATCTCCACCACCTTCCTCGTCACCTTCATCACCTTCCGTGATAGTAACAAGTCGTCGTCGTCGTCGTCGTCGTCATCATCATCAATAACAAGAAATTCACACCTATCTGTCAGCATTGTGTCAGACCAGGTGTAATCATCGGCTGATTCTTTGCCAACCAAAATGCTCTGATGCGCAGCGTAGGAAAGATTAGGTAACATCGGCTCCAAATAAAAACGAAAGCGAGTGATTGATTTACGCATGAGTCATCGTGTCCAGGAATTAAGTCACTCAGTCGCCTCTGAAATCATCAATCATTGCTCAGGTATTTCAGGGCAGGGGGGAGTCAGTTTGGGATGTGAGCCTCGCATACGTAACACAGCTTGTGATGACAGTAGGAGGGGGTGTGTGTGGATGTTGAGGCCTGCATGGAGGGCGACAGGATGTATGTGCGGTGCTGTTTCCTGTCGGGCTGCCGAGACAGGGGGTGGGGGGGGTCGAAGGGAGAAAAAATAAAAAGAAACCATACTTTAAGACGCCCTCACACAGAGTCAACACACTCAACTCATCACTTCGCCGCGGGTTTATACACTGTGTGTGTGTTGGAGCCTAAAGTGCAGGTTGAGGCTACAGTAAATGCACGCTCAGTGGCTCTGCTCTGCTGACAGCCGTGGTGTGTGTGTGTGTGTGTGTGTGTGTGTGTGTGTGTGTGTGTGTGTGTGTGTGTGTGTGTGCGTGTGTGTGTGTGTGTGTGTGTGTGTGTGTGTGTGTGTGTGTGTGTGTGTGTGTGTGTGAGTGTGTGTGTGTGTGTGTGTGTGTGTGTGTGTGTGTGTGTGTGTGTGTGAGTGTGTGTGTGTGTGTGTGTGTGCG